AAACCAAGTTGCTTTTATCCTATTCCTCAAGCAGCAGATTGTATCTTGCGTGTGGTTGAAAGAGCCAATGCACCCCTCATTTACCTCTCTACAGACGCCGCAGAGAGTGAAATTCGGCTGCTTCAGTCACTGCTTGTGAGAGAAGGCAGGCACGTTCCACTTGTCAAACGCCCACCTCGGAATTCGGCAGAAAAATGGGACTCTTTGTTGTACAGGCATCACATTGAAGGAGACCCTCAGGTCTGAATACAATGCACTATATTTCAATGTCATTCATTACCTTCTTTTTTCCGACCGCTTTTAACATCGGGTCAATATTATTTCTAATTCTATGACTTATCCATTCATCATGCTGCATCTCTTAATTGTTTAGTTTGGATCCTTATGTAATGGGCGGTGTGCGCCTTGTAAATTCCTCTGCTAAATTTCCTTGTGGACATTGTTTTCTTAAGGTGGAAGCTATGTTGGACAAAACTATATGTGCCATGTCCAGTGTGTTCATTGGAGCATCGGGTTCAACTTTCACCCAAGACATTCGACGGCTAAGAAAGGACTGGGGATCCGCATCATTGTGCGATGAGTACCTTTGCCACGGTGAGGAGCCAAATGTTGTAGCGGAGATGGAATGAGAACCACAAATAACTCTGATCTCACTTTCGGGGATACTTCACCTTTGTCCTGCAAACATTTGACTTAGAATAGGATTTTCTTTGTCCTGCAAACATTTGACTTAGAGTAGGATTTTGTCAATATGTGTTGTCATGTATGATAGTAGAGTTGGCCATTTCACTTGTAACTTTCACTGGTTTATATATATTCTACCACAATAAATATAGTGTATGATTAACAGCTTTTACCTGAATTTGTTTCCATGTATAACTCTTTAGCGTACCAAACCCTTCTTCCCTATCCCAAACCCACATCTCGATTCTTTTTGGTGGGAAATGAGAGGAAATAGATAAAGTAATTTGGATGGAAAAAAATGGAAACGAAATAAAATATAAATAAAGGTTTATTGTTGAAAAAAATAAAATAAAAATAATCATAATGGATTGTGTTGGCATCATAATAAATTATGTATTTTCATTTTCGAACATAATCCTCTTAGATAACATTAATATTGTGGATGGTTTTATTTTCAAATGCAATTTTCCTTTTCTAGACAATATAACTAATTATGTTGCATCTTTTCTCATTTTTCTTCTATTTTTGTACGGAAAGTCTTGATTTTCGTTCTTTCCTCTCAAGAGGGAAAAAAAATACATGTCGATATGCCAATTGACGTCTAGTGTATGATAGTTATGAAAAGTGATATGGTGTAAGGGTAATAGGAAAGAAAAATATAAAGAAATAATAGGCGATGATGGAGTTTATCGCATCACTCTTTGGAAATTAATGCTGAAGGTAATCAATCTATCTGTGGATTACGTCCAAGGAACTTTGAACTGGTTTGGTCAGAGCTAAAAGGAAAAGGTCAAAAACATCTCAGTATGTTCATGAATGACATGTTTAGGGATTGTAATCCAAATATAGCCAGAACCTTTGTTTTGATATATAACGAGACTATTGTGAGCGTCAAGCCAACTTAACGTTTTCATAATGTCATCTATCATTGAACATCAAACAGAGAGTTGAATTACAAGCAGCAAAAACAGTGGAAAATACTGTTTCAATCATCTTCTGATTCTGTTGCTGTTTTATATGCCTTGTAACACGTTGACATTTACTGTGAATATATTAGATGATCTCATATTGAAAGTTACTTCACAACCGACCCGGCTACATAAGCTTACAAAGTTAGATTGCATAAACTAGGAAACCTTTCATTATTACCAGTTGTTATTAACAGAATATGGAAGGCACCTCAAATTTGTAACCATCGAAGTTATATCATCCGGTGTCTAACTCAAAGAAAGGGAGAAAAATATAACTACATTTCCTTGGATTTAGATCTCCCGTAGAGCTGCCTCATCACTTCCTCGTTGGGATCCTCCATGATCACTACTGCTAAATGTTCGCTTGCTCATGTTAGCTCGCTGCACTAATCGCACCAGTGCTTGAACCACTTCTGACATTGGTGGTCGGAATTCAGGCTCCGGCTGCCCCAAAAGTGTAAAATAAACACATTAACATGCTATGCACAAATATATTCTTTCCACCCAAAAGCATCCAATTCATTATTACAAAATCAGTATATTTTGGATGAATAAAAACGTGGTTGACAATACCTGCACGCAAAGGGCAATAACATCAGCAAATCGAGAAAGAGACTTAACAGGATATAGCCCCTTCAATGTAGGATCAACCATTTTACCCAATGCATCAATATCATGGAGTTGAGGTGTTGCCCATCGAACCAAAGACTGCTCAGATCTTGGCCTTGAGCTGTTACAGAATATTACAGTCAGGACCAATAGAGGAGCCAACACATGATTTGTGTGTAATTTGAAATGCTGCTGAGTATTGCTCAATAACAAGAAGAAACTAAAAAATTCATATTCTGAAATTATGTTAAGACATCTTGTTTACGCAAATATTTCAATTGTTTTAGATCTATCAAATGTAGAAAACTGTTGCATTAAATGTGAGGTTAATCATTATTCACCTATCAAACGGCATCCGTCCGCTGAGAAGTTCCAACATGACAACCCCAAAGCTGTAGACATCACTTTGCAGAGTATACTGACCAGACAACGCAACTTCAGGAGCATCATATCCAGATCCAACATTATGACTCAATATCTGAATTTGAGACCAAAAGTTAAAATAATAATTTTGTTGGGACTGGTGTCACAGGGTAAAAGGAAAAGCCACAGTTTTTTGCCAGAATATTCCTGCAGAAGCACAAAAGTATGTGGTGGGCTTGGACCCTTGATGTGCAAATGCCCCTTTGGCCCTTAAATTTAGCATTGGGAAATTTTAGTTCTCCAGATCCCAATTGTGAAAATTAGATCCTTTAGGTATCGCAAATGTGGCAATTTTTAGTTTCTTAAGTTCTAATTGTGTCAACCAGATCTTCCAAATATTACAGGTCTGTGATTTTAGTTCTTCATACATGTCATCCCCAAATATAGCTAGCCAATCCGCAAATATAAAAATCTAAGTTCTAGAGATTTATAAAATCACCTGGTCTGCGTTTGGAATATAGCTAGCCAATCCACTATCTGAAAGATGAGGATTAAGCTCTGCATCAAGTAATATGTTGGCTGATTTAATATTCTTATGAACAACTGATGGCGAACTAACTTCATGTAGGTACCTACAAAAAATTGTTGAGAAAGTCTGGTCATTGAGTCTCAAGTAACATTAACATTTATGCTTGATGTCCAACCACATGTTACCACATAAAAATCATGGGAAAAGAAAACTTCCATTGTAAGTAAAATCCTTACTTTCACAAAGTGGCACTCTCCCATCTACTGATAGTACACTGATTTTCAAGGTGATAGTGGATACAAAATAAACTCAATTCTTGCTTTATAGTCCAAAATAATTTTCCAGTGTTTATTTCCAAATATGAACTTTAGAGAAAGTATTAATCCAGAGTCCAGACAAATTTTAATTCAGGAAAAAAAAGAGCAAACTAGAAACTGAATTTCAGTTTTAAATCAGTCAAGCCCAAAAAGGACAGGTTAGCATGCAACTTAAGTAGAATACCATACAAAATAAATAAAACAGAAAAATAGAAAAGCAAGGAGGAGCTAATAAAGCTGGAAAAAAAGTTTAACTAAAATATTGTTCATGAATTGGTGCAAAAATTCCTCAAAATATAATCCTATTAGTACATAACTAACTTACTCTAAAGCACGCGCAGTACCCAAAGCAATCTTGACACGGGAATTCCATATCAGTGGTTTACTATATTCGTCTGGTAGATGAAGGAAGTCATGTAGTGATCCATTTTTATGAAATTTATAGACCAAGAGGTGTTGTCCATACTCTGAGCAATAACCTACAAGCTCTGTCACATTTGGATGATGCAAACTGGAGATGTTTGAAATTATTTCTATAAAATCATCTGACAAATCATTGGAAAGGACAGATGAATCTATCTTCTTCACTGCAAGAACCTACAACATAATCAAAAATTAAAAAAAGAGTCAAAACCATTAAAAACTTTTGGTCCAAGGTAGAAATTTCCACTATTTAATGGGATATTAGCTATATCTGTGGCATTTACATGGGCATCCTTGATTTTTTTTGCTTAGGGGAGAAAATGTTGGAGATGCAGAGATGGGAGACACTAACACAACCTTATGGCATATCAGAAATGCATGCATCCTTGTGTTTGTACATAGATAATACACAGGTTTGATCCTCTTTGGCGAATATTATATATTGATGACAATAATCTGGACATACTAACCCTTGTCATTGGAATCAGACAAAGTCAAATTATAGTAATACAGGTTAAGAAATACCTCTCCATCATCAAATTGAGCACGGTACACACGCCCAAAAGACCCCTCGCCAACAAGATGATCCACACTGAAGCTACCAGTAGCAATCTGCAGGTCAGCAATAGAATATGATTTCACATTTGCAGGAGCTGTTACAGTCTTCTTCATAATTGTGGGCTTCTTGGAGAACTCTTCATCATCAAATGATTTATGTCGATCAATAGGTGGGGGTTTAAGATTTATGGAGGCAGAAGTATCAAAGGTCTTCATGTCTGAAACAGAGGATGTTTGCTCTGACTTCTCTTCTGCATTATGGCACATATGTCAATTTGGATAATAAAGTTGAAAAGAAAAATAATATGCCAAATTTTGAATTGCAAACTTTAATTTGGTAATAACCAGATTACTAGAGAAAAAAGACTGACCGGCAATATATAACAGCAAATAAAGGACAAGTTGGTCTTGTTCTTAAACAGTAAAGTTTGGCAATATAATTATAAATTTATCTAGAAAACACAACAATAAGGATGCCCTCATCATTAAAGAAAAAATATCTTGAAATAGTATGCAAGATGCAGACCATGCACTCCATTTGAGGGAAGTGGAGCAAAGGATTGATTGTCCAGCTTTTCTAAATCTGAAGATGTCTTCTTGGATTTTCTCTTCACCAGAAAGAATGCTACTATTGCCCCAACAACTATGACAGAGACTACAATTCCAGCAATGGCGCCACCTCCTATACCGGACTTTTTGCCCGTGTCAACTGAACTGCTGCTGCTGTCACTGACATCTGGGGTAGTGTTGCTTCCCCCTCCAGACTGGTGGTGTTTGTTCCTTTTAGGTACGGGAGGTGTACCAGGAGGAGGTGGGGGTGCAGGTCCGGAGCTCCATCCATTACCACCGCTCCTAATGTTAAATTTTCCAAATATTAGAGCTCCACAGAAATTTATGATGAAAATCTGATTCCGAATTACCAAATTGCTGACAATGAGAAATGCTTACTGTAGGTTTATATCCTTCAACTGGTCGGGTATCCATCCAGTAAAATTATTGTTCTCCACATTCCTGAGAATAATTTAAGACAATAAATACAATTGGCTTCAAGTTTTTCATTTTGGAAATATAGGAAAGGAGCTATGTCATATGATACAACAGAGACGCACAGATTATCCAGAGGAAGATTAGCAAGGACATCAATAGTGCCCGTAAACTGATTGTTTTGCAGATTCCTGCCCAGATATAAACAAATTAACTTAGAATGCAATCAATAAAATGTAATATACTAACAGAAAACACCAACAGTCAGTATTTTTACAAGGTTGTTATGTGTGAAAGTGAGCTCATGGTCTGAGGGAGGTCACCAATTAGAGAATTGAACGAGAGATCCCTGTAATAAGGAAAAAATATAAGCCCACTTGGCTCACAATTGTTTGGTATTACCAAGGATCAAAAGTAGCCGCATGTAAATAATGAAATTACCAAAACCATATCACATGAAACATATTTCAACAGCACATATATATGTATTCTTTTCACATGCAAAATGTCTTGAAATGCAATTAGAACTAATACTGTAAAACTATTCAACTGCATAATAGTAATTCATCTAAAAAAGCATTATCAAAACATATATAAGATGAAAAGGGTCAAATCTTTATAGAAAGGTAACAATAACTTGAAAGCCATTTAGACTACTGTTTTTATGCAGCTGAAGGGCAAGACAAATTCTCACAATGTAGAGAGGGCAGAAAGATTAAGAAAGTTAACAGCCAGTCCTTGCTGGAGCTGATTGTGACCAAGATTCCTGCATAAAAAAAAATAAAAAATTATTTGAGGTGTTTGTAGTGGTGGTCAATACAGTGCAACTATGTAAATTTACAAGAAGAAAATTACACACAGGTCTGTAAGAGCGTTCAAGTTTGAAATAGAGTAAGGAACAGTCCCTGTGATGTTATTATAAGCAAGATTTCTGCACACAAAGAACTAAGAACGTTACAAATCATATCATAAATAAAATACACTGAAGAGTAACAACCCCATATTAATTGAAACATACAATCGCTGCACATATGGAGGGAGCTGGTATGGTATGCTGCCGCCAAGACTGTTGCCACTCATGTCTCTACAAAAGTTTACAAGGTCACACAATGATAGCAATGAATATATGTAAGGAAAGAGACCATTAATCTTACAGAGGCAACGACCCAGTCAGTCCAAGATTAGATAACTTACTGAGAAGTCACAAACAATAGTCATTAAAAATAAGCAACAAAGCCTAAAGGTAATGATCAAATTATATAAAGTGAAGAGTGGGACCATACATCTCTGTAACACGGTTGCCTGAACAAGAAATGCCTTTCCAAGGTTGCCCACATGGATCATCGCCATTAACAGGCCAACCAAGCTGGGATGGTGAGTTCAAATTTTGAAATAAAAGTCTCACAGCAGTAGCTGCAGAAAACATTCCAAAAATAAAAATATTCAGTAAACCTAATACATGTATTATGGTTTTTCATTATCTAATAGGTTATGGCCTCAACATGATCCATTTACATATTTCAGGGTATAGATTTCTCTTCAGGCAAAACTAATCCATTATGATAGAATCCTTGAATATACTACTTCTAAACAAAAGTGAATAATTTGGACCTTAGCCATGAATACGGATTAAGAAAATGTTTTCTGACAATTACTTGGTTATTCATAGACTATAAAAGTTGCAAGTTTATAAATACCAAAGCGTAGAAACTAAAAAGAAACCCAACTTTCACCAAGGATTCTCAGAATGGTACATCATAATTTCCTGGGTGGAAGTAGTATGGATAGAAGATTAGTAATTGTTTTTGTGTGCATAATGTTAGTTAAAATAGCATCACCAAATATTAGGCACCTGAAGAAAAACCTTTCAAAATTATATCATCGGGCCAGTACAAAACCCAGTTATTTGAAGGATCATAATGCACCCATACAAGTCCGTATTTAGGGATGCAAATGAGATTCAAAATCATCAGATGTTCATCAAGCAAACATTCTAGATATTCTGAAGGGTCACAAAAGCAATGCTGGCTGCTTGTTGAGGATTTAAAGATGTGGACAACACAAGACAAATAAGGAATTGTACAGCATTAAACTAGACATGAACTATATAATACAAAAAAGGGTAAAAACAAGCTATTTAATGGGTACTCAAACCTTAAACAGAAACCTAAACCCTACAAGATTCTGTTAGTGATTTGCCAATCAGAAGTTAGAATGGCCAAGTAGTCCATTGCAGTAGTTGGTTTATTTTTAATCACTTCGTATGAACTGCCCAAATCCCATATTTGAAATATGGCAGATCTAAAATGTGCCATTTGAGAGATAAGATTAAAGAAGTCCACATACAACATTGACAAGAATTTTGGAATTAAGCACAGGTGAAGTTATCACATTTCCACGTTACTGCTCAAGCTATTAAAGCATTTATCCTCACGGGACAAGGGCTTGCTGAGTGCTACTATAAAGGATGGTTCCGAAGTCCAGAAGGGCAGCTGCAGCATAGAGGGCTCGCCACAAAAAAAATAAAATAACGCACATGCTCCAGTGCGTTGTAAACATTACCATTCAGTACACTTCTTTGCTTACATTTGAGAATTTTTAGCTTTATTTGATTGCGAAATATAACGCACGCATGATTTACTTGTACATCAAACTGAACACGAGATGTTGAAGATAAGAAGTCAACGTAAGGGGGTGAAAAAGGAAAGACCAAGAGTGTCGGCAAACTATAAAACGCACACAAAAAACACCTCATAAAGCCTTAAAATATCAGAAAGTGATTACTAAAACAAGCAGCACATTTTTCTCAGACTTTGTGTTCACTACTACTACATATTTTTTGGCATATGATCCACAGTTGATGAAAGTTGAACAGGGAGGTAGAGGGGAAAAATTGAAAATTTTCCTTATAAAAAAGTTGAAGGGTAAGAGCTATATACACGGAAAAGAAAGAAGTGAGACTTCCATCAACAACCGAATAATGCAGAAGACTGTTAGAGAACTTTAGGATTGATAATGACTTATTCAGCACTTGGAAGAACATAAACCTTAGAAATGACGCAAGGCAAGGTAACCAATTACAAAGTAGTAAGAACCGACAATCAAGTGCACAGAACATATTGTGCAAACTGGAAAGGAAAAATACAATTCATTTGACGAGACCATAGGCATGCAACGCAAGCGGTACTTCGTAGAGAAAACCAACAAACTGTCTAAAGCACTAACAATCACGGTAATAGAACTGATGTGATGTGAGCCACTGAATAGATCAGCTACAAAGCTTCCCATTGTTTCAGAATAAAGGAAAACTAAAAACTCCAAACAAATTGTTTGGACAGTTCAAAGCACATAAGTGAAACGATGGCAGAAAGCAAGTTTTTACAAGAATAGCACAATGCAAAAAGCAACAAACAGAGAAATAGAGTGAAGTGAAGTGAAAGAAGAGACTAACCATCATTTGGATCTGTAGCAGAAGTAGCACCATTGGGCATCCAACAAAGAATGCAGGAAGTGATACACAGCAACAGTAACAACCTTCTAAACTCCACCATCTCTCACAAAATCCTTCCTACCCAGAAAGCTGAAAGGGTTTTTCAGTCACCCCTTTTCAGCAAGTTCTAATCTTTCTCTCTGATTATTTTATGGGTCTATACTAATGCTGCCCCCCATAGCCAAGTAAAGCTGGCCAGCACGAATTGCCAAAAGAATCCAAAGCCATGGAAATTTTATTTACTTTATCACAGTCACAGTGCCTCTCACAGTACTCGTATACATAAAACTAAATTTATACTTCAATAATAGTACCTCACTATTACTATAAGTAATAATGATTTTCCCTTAGAAGTTGTGATGGGAAGTAAGAAAGAAAATTTTTGTGAAGATTGGTTTTTCTGGATTTTTCTGTGTTGGATTTTTCTTTCAAGACAATTTAAGTAGCCTTCACAGTACAGGGACACGAATGAAAGACACGTTTCTACAAATTTATTATTATACAATAATATTTATTTTCTGTTATGTATTTATGTCTGTATATACGTATTGGTGAATAAGCGAGTATTGGTATATGTGGCTTTCATGCCAACGGCTATGACAAAGCTGAAGAAGGAAAGTCAAAGAAACCAATTACTTGAAATGATGTCATGCAAAATTTAATAAATTACTAAAAAGAAAGCAAGTGACGCAAAACATTCATCTTTGTCTAATTTTAATGATGGAATTATCTTTTTTTCTAATTACAGAATAATAATGGAAAAAGACGTTTGAACTAATGCCACCTATTTTAAAGACCGTTTTTTGGGGGTAATAATGAGTGTTCAATAATTTCTAGGTTGTGATTCGGATTGAATAACATCTTTAATTTTTAATTTTTATGTACTTTATTGTTTTCGGAAATTACTATTTAATTATGATGTAACGTAATTCTTTTCCATTGATGTAACATATATTGGTATGTGCTGTCTAAATTATTACTATAGAACAACGTAGTGATATTGTTCCACATAGTAAAAAAAAGAAACTTAGCAAAATAAAGTAATTAATAGAGATTAAAACGTATATTATCTTTCATATAATCGCATAATGAATTGATACGAATAAAAATGACGGAGGAGACACTAATTAAACTCGAAATTTTAAAATAATAAATTTTATTGGTATTTTATCTTATATGTGATTTAATCTTTTAAAATAATGTTCAAATTAATTTCAATTGTTATATTAATAACTTTCTTATATCATAATTTTTCATCTTTAAAGAAGAGTATTAGCATTTAACCGTTTTGTTATTGACAATAAAATATAATTTAAATATGGAAAAGTTGTTAAATATGTTTTTAAATTTAAAATATTTTATAAAAGTAGTTATTATAGTTGTTCACAAAAGTAAAATAACATAAATTCACATATTACTTATAATTCTTTATTTTGTACGTAGTAGATATATTTTTAGATATTGTAATATTAAATTGCTTATTTAATTTTAAAATATTATTTTCATTTTAAAATAGGGCAATTTATTAAAAGCTATAGTAGTGATGGTAAAAGATAAATAATTCAATATTAAAGAAGGTGGTAAATGAAAAATTTTGCCAAGGTTTGAAGTGACAACTTATAATAAAGTCTAAGCTTGAATATTGGTTTAAATATTTTTACATTATTGTATAATTACAAATCATTGTACATGGAATGTTGTTAATTTGACAATCATGGATTTATTAGCCAAACAGTTCTAATTATTTATTTTTCCTATACATTGATGACAGTTTATAAATAAATTAGACTTAATAGTAGTTTTCGATCTTCTAATAATTTGTGAGTAAGATTATTATTTTTTTAATAACGTGAGTAAGATTATTATTATTATATTGACTGGATTTGTTGTCAACTTTGTAATGGTTTTTAGTAAATGTTTGCAAAGATTGAAGTTGTGATATTTGCATTTAATGCAATTGAAATACTTTATTTTAAAATTAGAAAATTATAATGTAATAAATTTTAAACAACTTATTTAAATAAAGTATTTAAAAACTAATCGACTGAGATGAAAGTAATTCAAATTAAATGAATTTGAATTTCTAAAAATAGTAAATTTTTCTATCAAAACATGAGGATGAACTTTTTCATAAAAGCTTATATGAGAGAGAAAATAAAGATTTCCATTGAGAAGATTGTCCAATGCCATAAATTCATCCTAAAATATGTATATTATACGTATGAAAGTCAAGTTACAAGATGATAAAATTCCTTTTTTAATTTGTACATAATATTTTTCCATTATAAGCCACTCATAAATCTGTATTAATGAATATGCTCCTGTGAGCATATTCATTTAGAGTGGTCTAATCGAATAATTACTCTAATTCATAATTTTTTCATATTATTTAATCTATATAGTAATCTGAAAAGACAAGTAAATCAAATTCGATATAAAATTAACACATGATATTTTTTAATTAATATTTCCTTAAAGAACATCTAGTGTTAAATAAAGAAATATTAAAATATAATATCCACCATGTCTCCCGAATAATGCTAAAACAGACCTGCAACCACTATCTTTAATATATATAGAATTCTTTATTTCTCTATTTCTTTTTGTCTTCTATCTTTGTGTTTCTTCGATAAATAAAAAGTGCGGCATTTAATAAATAAAAAAAGTACACAATTTACTCAAACAATCTATTAAAAAATATAAGATTAAAAAAATGCGCGAATTTTTTATTGCCTCCAATCTTAGATTTAAAGGACCAGTTAAACTTGAGAAAATATTTCTTTTGACCTTTTACTGATGTACTATTAATTTCAATTTTTCTCGTTTTTAATTTATTTTAAAAATTAAAAAATATGCAAGTGTGCTGAAATTATTAAAATAAAAATAAGAGATATATTCGAAAGTAAGAATAGCTTGTCCGAAGGCGACAAGTAAGTATTGTGTCACGGGTTGGTCGAAAGAAAGAATATAAAACAAAATTTGTTCTAACTTCGTTAAACTTAACGGTATATGGTAAAAGAATTGGCGGTGATTAGGAAAACAGCCACAGCCACAGGACATAATAAAACAAAAGAGAATAAATAAATACAATTATACAATTATTAATTGATTGTATATTGCAAAAATAATTAGTATTGATTTGATTTATTTTCAATTTGTCGGTGACATTCGCATACATATAATAAATGGTTTGGGTAGAGACGGAATATTCCCTAACCCTAACATCGCCGACAGTCAGATTCTCTGTCCGTTCCAAGAAGTAACAGCTCCGACAAGTTTAAGAATTTGAAGATAAAAACACAGAGTAAAAGGACAAGCTGAAGAAGATAAAGTAGGATTGCGTCTACGGCTACGAAGGACGACTAAGGAAGTAAAAAATTAGATTTAGTTTATGCGTAAGATTCGTTGAGGGAGGTGCAAAATTGGAGGGAGTGGAAGAAGATGCAAACTTTATAGAGAAACAGAAGTAATAAGCAATAATGGTAGAAGGAATGCATCAGACTGTATGAGCTGATTGGATATTGCGGTGTAAGTTTTTGAGTCTGACAACAGACTCAACATGTCCTCTGAGAGTGTGCAACTCCCCTAGTCTGCAAAGTTTGATGCATTTTGAGAGTTAAAAGAGGTTTCTTGTAGATGATTGGGAGCAAAAGTGGTGAATGAGATGAGAAAAGTACCTGGCTATTTCAGCTCGTCGTCTGGCCTGTTCAGCTATGATAGAAGAGCGTCTTCCGTTTACCTCCAGGCCTCCGGCGGCCATGAGATGCAGTCCTTGTAGAGTCCTCTGAGAAAGAACCCACTTTGCAGCCCTATCTTCTTTTCCATAGTCTTTCTTTGATGTAAAAGCAGTCTGTTCAACACAAAAACACATCAAAAGTCAAGCTACGCATTTTGAAATTTCTCGAAACTTTCTCTAAACTTTCTCACTTTCCCACTTACCTTTCTTTCAAATAGGAGTTTCCAGGCATCTCCAGTCAAAGCATAACGCACTGTGAACTTAATGATGTCCAATGGTACATAGAAGATCAAACTGTACAACCATATAACACCAGCCCATTCCCATCCAATTCCGCTAATCTTTGCAAAACTGATATTTGCATACACACCAATTAAGGTCGCCACCTAACCAATTCATACATCACATTCTTCATCAACCACTATTTTATGTGTTAAAACAATCTAACTTCCTTACACTTGAGGCATGCAACATTACCAGTTGAGCTATTACAAAGGCGCACATCAGCAGAGCTCCGGGTCTCTCTAGAAATGACCATCCATAGCTTCGAGTAACAAAGATTAGAGCCTGGCTAATGATGCTAACTTGCAGATATACAGCTGATGAAACTTTCTCGCTGTCACTAGATAATGAGGTTACATGGAAGTGGGTCTGCAACAATACTTTTTCGGCTCAAAGATGTTTATAAATTGAGTGAAATGTGATTTTCATTTTAGGTCTAACAACAAGATCAGGGAGGGAGAGACAAAAACTTGTGTACCTCAAAGAAAGTGGTCTCAACTATTACCCAATAGAATAGGACAGTGACCAAAGCAAGATAAGTTCCAATCACTATTCCTGTTGCAAATATCTCTGGTAGCTTCCAACTGTCGGGTGTCGGGGATGGCTTCACTCTGTCTTTAGATATGGTCATGATAGTACCTAGTTCAAAATTAAAATGTTATGACTACAGATCGTACATATCACTACTACATCTTATTTGGCCTAATTGCCCATCTATTGTTATGTCTATGGTTATTTATTCAATCCTACCTTGTAAAAACTTGTGTTATCCCTTTGTTAAGTTTCGCCAGTAACAAAGTAAGACTATTATGTCAAGAAAAACTTCTGTTACTCTCAAATGAAGATGATTTGTTTTCTGAGATTTCGTACCCTATGATTCTATATTCAAGCTAGAATTTTATAACTTTGCAACATTTACACTCCTGAGTGAGAAAATAAAAAGTCGTGGGATGCTCTAAAACCAAAAGAAAAGATGAATCACGCATTTTATTTTTTTTCTCGTAACTTTATGATGCATTTATCTCTTCTATTACATTGTCATAAACTGGAAAAAGAAATGGTGAGTATAGTTTTTATCTATTGCTTGACTAAGTAGATACGGAAGAAAAGGAAAGTGGAAGTTTTATAATTCATGTCCAGTACTGGGGTGAAGAAATGATCAGAAGTACTACCATCATTTAGTATTGCAATGATCAAGACCATGAAGGGTGGAAAATCATACTCCCAAATTAATGCCAGGAGAGTAAAACCAACCTGCATTCGGTTTGATAAGTTAGACGCTCGTCCAAAGGAACTTTAATGTTTAGATATAAATTCAAGAATAGAGAAAAACATAATCTATAAAAATGACTCTGAAATTGGGGGTAGGAA